CAACACTCAAAAACTTCATTGGTGACTAAGTAAAAAGAAAAAAAACCCTAATGAAAACAGGAGAAGAGCCTTACACATGTTAAATGGTTAGGAAATACATAAATACTACAATAAATATACCTCGTTACCTTGTAAAAGACCTGAGGTTCACTTGTGGAAATGGGTGTTTGGAAAGGTTGTATTTGTGAGTTAAGTAGTGGAAGGAGGGTTAATCTGAAATTGGATGGAGAGCTGTACCACCGGAAGTGGCTAATGTGGCCCTTAACACAAGTGGTGATCTCAGGTAGATGTTTGAGGTGGATGTTTCATTATTCCTTTACAGCCCAGTTCAGCTCAGTGCAGTTTTCCGCCTTCACCTAGTGTTTCCTGGCAGACAACATCGTGCCCAAGCAAACTCAAAATTCACATTATGCCCAAATTGTTTTCTAATACATCAACTGAATTGGAACAAATGAACATTTTTCTAAACCATCATTAGAGCAGAACTCAGTGTACCTACCTCATGAACTTGTTATGAAGATTAAATAAAACAATCCATGTAAAATGCTAGGATTTCCTGGCACATTAATAGTGCTTAGAGGTTTTGATGGGGATTGCATTAAATCTGTATATTGTTTTGGGCAATATGGCCATTTTAACTATGTTGATTCTTCCAATCCACAAACACGGAAGATCTTTCCATTTCTTCCTGTTTTCTTCAATTTCTATTATAATGTCTTGTAGTTTTCAGCGAATAGGTCTTTCATACCCTTTGTTTATTCCTGGGTATTTTATTCTTTTGTTGCAATTGCAACAGTAGTTTTGTTATTTATTGTGTATTATAAATCTAAAACCTGTTTATCTTGTTATTTGGCAGTTGTTTTTTTATTTTGTTATAAGCCCAGCAACAATGAATTCTTAAAAATGAAAGTATATATTTAATGAAGAATGAAGTACTGAATTTCTCTCCCAGTACTTAACATGCACAAAATGTTTATCAACATTTACCATCCACTGTGAGATTTGTAGTGATATCACTGTCCACACAACAACCAGAAGACACAACAGAATCTTTCTATTGTAAAATCTATTACAATCTGATAAATAAAATCTATCAGAATCTATTGTAAAAGTTAGGAGTTATTTTTAAAAGATTGTGTGTCATATATGACAAATATGTATAGGTGCAGATGTTTACATATGTCTGTGAAATATCTCATTTAGATCAAGTAACTTTTTAAAAATTTTGCTCATTTTTATTCCAAGTTTTTCTTTTGCACATATGAAAAATGAAGTAATAACTGTTATGTAATGGCTCCACTAACAGAAAAAGGACCTAAACAATGCTGATTTTTAAATAGTAAAATCAATTCCAATAGTAGTTCAACTTTTTTCAAAGCTTTTGTGCATTTGTTCTGTCAGTGCTATAACTGAAATTAAAACTTTTGGAATTTTATTCAGTCAAAAATGCTATAAATGCTATTGTATGTTTAAAAGCCCAACATGAAAGATAAAATTAGTTGTTTTTGCCAAAAGGATGTTATCATGGTAAAAATCAATGTTCTTATTAGGAAAACTGTGGAGCAGAAATATTTTGGGAATTGGTTGCAGTGCATGCTAATAATCTGCTTGTTCTACAATTGCATTAAAACTACAGTGGTCAAATATATTGATATTTGGGCTGGCCGAGTGGCACATTGGTTAAGAGTTGGCTTGGGATGCCAGCTCTGAGCAGTAGGGGCCCAGTTAGGATCCCACATTAGGACCAGTGACGCTGCGCCCTCTACAGCTAAGATGGCAAACAACAGCTCAACCTGGAGCTGGGCAGCCATGAGTCACTGGCAATGGCATAGGCTGCAGCCCCTGCTACAGTGGGCTGCCGTGAGCTACCAGGAGTGCCTGGCAGCCAGCGTGAGTGGCCGGCAGCCAGTGTGAGCTGCTGTGAGCCACCGTGAGCGGCCACCCAATGGCCGGCGAGCGACTGCCTCACCCGGGAAGAGCGCAATGATAATACCAACACGGGCCAGTGAAGCGACGTCCTCCACAACTAGACTGAAGACCAAAAGGACAGCAACTTGTCTGTTTCCCTTCTCCAATTCCCAACGCTGTTCCCCTCTCCCAATTCCCCAATAAAAAAATAAAATAAATTTATTTGATATGTATAGTTTAACTGAACTATAGCATTCTTATGTTGAAGCTAATGTTGAAAAAACATACTTCAGCATGACAAAACACATTGGTATGCAACTCTCTTTGTTGCATGTTACCAACGGGATTTTAGAAACGTGATTTTGTGAAAAACTGCTTTGTAAATTGACCTAAGTGTCCTATATTGGCTTTTTTTTTTTTTTTTGCTAAAGGGATGATAGAGGGTACAAGGGAGTAAAATAAACTTTTGTACTATATTAGTTAGATTTTGATTCGAAGTCATTTGGAAATTTTTAGAAGTGTTCACCAAATAAACCTGAAGGTGCCTAAACCTTCATCTTTTAAAAATTTTAGCAAATAGCAATTCTTGGAAACAGATCTTACAAACGGGAAGTCATTGAAATTTATCTTTATAAAAGTAAGGAAAGAACTGAACAGATTAAGTGGTAAGAGCTCAAGATTTATTCTAGAAGTTCTCTCATTTACACTATCTCAACTATGAAGACTTTTTTGAGAGAGCTTCTGTTTTTAATTGGATAAGTTTCTATTTTGTATTAGAAGGAAAGACTGAGAAGACAATTGATATTGCAGTATCTAAATTTAGTGATTTATTTAAAAAGTATAAATAGAATTTAAAAGTTTGTTTCATAAAAATAATTATCAAAAGAGATTCATTAAATGGAGGGGAGAAGTTAAATATCTGGTCTTGAAATATTTGCAAATTTCAACATAAAAGAAATTCATTCGACAGAATTTTCTCCACTTATCAGATTATCCAATACTGTAAAGAGTATCTGTTCTCCATAAGAAATGTTTATAGAGAAGAGTAAGTTGAAAATGTCAACAGTGTCATAATTATTGATCATAAAATTCAATTTTGAAGAAGATTTTAGGTAACCTTATTTTTGTTTAAAAAAAGTCTCAAAATAAGATTATATAAAAATATGTTCTTCAGAGAAATACCAATGACTTGTTATTAGAGATAAATGCAGCTAAGAAAGTAGTTCAAGTATATTAATGTGCACTGGAAAATTATTCTGCTTATGTTTTCATTGCATCATTGTACATGGGTATGATTTTATCTTTTAGAAAGAATTTTATTTTGAAAATACATTTTTAATAAAAATTTAAGCCCACCAATATAATAAAACAAGTTTTACAGTAAATAAATACTCTTTTTTAAAATTGTGTAATTTTAATTACTTAAAATTTTTCTAGCTCACTCTCAATAATCATGTCTGAATGCATCGAAATGGTTTAATTTCCTAAAAATTAGTTCCAGGGATCTGAAATATAAGTAAAATGTATCACTCCACTAGCTCAAAAAAACCACTGCAGTGAACAGACTTATTTTCTTTCTCTGATTTATTTTAGTTGTACATTCTAAAACACTAAAATGGATGTTAGTGTTAAACTAGTAAATTTTCACTCTGTGTTTGAGAAAACAAATGATTGGACATCTAACTGTTAGTTTTTCTTGGTTATCCTAGCAAGTTAATTACACAGTCCAGTATATTACTTCTTTGGAGCTGTATTCCTCATTTGGTGATTATTTTGCTAATTGTCTTTAAAAATAAACCGAAGAATTATTCTCATGTGCAGTTGAACCAACATGGTCTAGTAATTAGTGAATAGCAATTGTTAGTAACCAAATTCAGAATAGCTCTGTTAACATTTTCACTTGCATTTTTTATAGTTCTATTTTATTAAAACTAGGTTAATGCTTTTTAAATACATTGTTACTGATACATTGTTGCTTTCTATCCAGTCAGTTGTCTCAGCCAATTATTATTGTAAAAGAGTTTACCACACCATTTATTTCTGTACTTTGAGTTATTGTTCTAGAACTGTCTTTAGCTCTGCCTGACTTGATTGATTATATTTTTATCTGTTTCTAATGTCTATAAAATGTTCTAATGTAGATGTTTATTTTTGCCATGTATTATGAATCCTATTTAATTTATAGTTGTGATTATATGTGTGTAACCTCCTAAATTAAAAATATGCTTTTTAACAAAATAACTGGAGTTTAAAATACAAGGCTATTTTGTTAACATTTCAATTTTGGCTTAATATTAAGATTATCTCAATATACGTTAATGTAGTACGTTCAAAAACTGACTTAGGAAATCATATTACAGTGTAAAAGCTACCATAATAAGTTGTTCCCTTACATAAATAAATAAATGACCAATATTGCTAGCGGCTGTAAGCAGTATGGGGGAAAAAATGGAAGGAGTCTTTTATCCTAGTTTTTAGAGGGCATCAGCAGCTTGCTTTTATGAAAAAGTAACAGCTAAATGCACTGCAAATAATTTGCAGTAATCCAGTTCAGTGATTCATGTGTCTGCTTTAATGGGTCATAATTCAGGGTAAAGTAACTGAGTGCAGTCAGAGTGCAGACACTGCTTATGCCAGGGACAGTATCTCTTCATAAAACACACCTCAGGAGAAGCAGTTTGCCAGCCCCCTAATACTCTCTGATGTTTTGATGTCCTGCATATTTTTCCGATTAAGTTTTGAGTGCCATGTTTTTAGTTGTATTTCCACATTCATTATTCTCATGTAGACCCTTCAGCGGGTTTGCCATATATGATTATTTTTTTAATGATGCCTTTCTTTCCACTTCAGCAGTTTAATAATCTAGCACATGGCTGCTTCTCAGTACTCAGCATTCACCTCCCCAATACTGAAGAGGACATGTGCTTTGGCTTCAAAATTCCATTTGCAGCGTTAGAAATGCATATTCCCTGTGGAACAACATTTGTTTGACATAACCATTCATTTTTATTACCTCTTTAAATATGTTTATCCAGAGTTATCAATAATCATAAATAACTGTATTCTCATCTTGTTCTGTTTTTTTCCAACAGACAAAATTGCTTACCCAGTACATATTAAATCTCGGCAAGTATGATCAAAACTACGACATCAGAGACCGTACAAGATTTATTAGGCAGCTTATTGTTCCGAATGAGAAGAGTGGAGCTTTAAGTAAATATGCCAAAAAAATATTCCTAGCACAAAAACCTGCACCACTGCTTGAGTCTCCTTTTAAAGGTATTATTATTAAAATATTACTGCACAATATATGTTATCTTAAAAATTATGACAATATGTCCCATTGCTAATGTGTTTAAAATTTATCTCTTAGGATATATAAATGATTACATATATAAATATAAAAAAACAGTGTGCTTTCTATCCATTCATCTGTTCTGCAGAGCAAGCTTTTATATTAGTTAAAGTTTATATTTTTATAGACCTTATTTACTTAAATTTCAATCGTTTGATTTTATTTTTATTCTTACTAAACAGTGTCACTTTCAATAGATAAAACCGTGTCATTCTTGTAGACATTGACTTCATTTCTATTTTAAATAGGTAGCTTTATTTAATAAGGAATACAATTCACCCTAATAGTGAATTATTATTTATTAAATATTCTGTATACACTAGCATAAACTTTTTTAGAAATAATTATTTCATAAAAATATTCCTTTATATTTAAATTTGTTTTTCAAAGACGGAAGTTGACTTATTTCCCCCAGCTTTTTAAAACAAGTAATTTATTAATCACTTTTACAAGTAGCCATTACAGTTGGAACAGATGATTATATACCTTGGTTTTCATATTGTTTTTTTTACTTAATTGTTGTAAAGTGATAAAAAGCAGTTCAGTTTTGTAGAAAAACTATTAAAATTCTGGATGTGTTTGTGCCAAGACATGTATATGGATTGTTTAACTGTGCTGTCATTCTTAATATTCACAGTAAAGTAATTTTTAGAGAAGCTACATTTCAGAGCAACACCTCTAAACACACTGACTGATTAGCTTTTTTATTGACCATTATGGGGGAGATTATTGTAATCTATGGACTGAAATCAGTTTTTTGACCTATGAAGAGCTTCCTAGTTTATATTTATTCCTTGACATTTGAGGTAATATGCCAATTACCTTGAGCTCTGATTAGAATTGTTCTATGTTATATACAGCTCATATTGTTTATTTTATATTTTCCTCTATTTTAATAGATAGGGATCATTTCCAGCTTGGCACTTTATCTCATACTCTCAACACTAAAGCTACTGGGTACATGGAATTATCTAATTGGCCAGAGGTGGCGCCTGACCCATCAGTTCGAAATGTAGAAGTAACAGAGTTGGTAAGTTGACCTTTCTGAAATTAATTTTGTCAAGCAGTGGGAGATTCTAGAATAACTATTGTTTTATATAAAAGCTCTTTTGGGGGGCTTGAAAATTGAAAATTATCCTGGTATTTCTAAGTGTAATGCGTTAGATATATGCCTATCTCACTGTTATGGGAACTAAATATTATCGTATTCCTGTGTCATTGTACATGTACTATTCCTTTTCTTAAGGAAATAGAGAATTGAATTCTCTGCGTCAGTGCCACCCACATCTGTGGTATTACATTTGTAGCTGTGTAGATTCAATTTCTAAGGTATTTAGTTTCATTGGCTTGAGCTTTTTCTACTTTGTTTAGAGATTCGTAAGCTTCCTGTCAATGTTTTTCTAAATAATTTTTGTTGTTCTCTTCCACAGAAACCATACAAAGTGTTCTGGATTTTCTGATGAACTTAATTTAATTGAAGCCTAAACGTAAATAGGGAGCAGTGTGTACCAAAAATGTCCTTAGACAAGGTCACAATTAAGATAAATAATATGTAGCTTTCATATTTAAAAAAAACCAACTTTTATATAAATACTCTTTTCCCAGATCTTTACAAAATGCTGGCTACTAAAATAAAAATTAATGTTCTTCCCTAATATTATCTTTCGTATATAAACAACAAAAATAAAAAGAGGGTCCTTCAGTTGTTTTTAGAGATTGCTTATATGAAATATATTCAATACTTTTTAAAGTAGAATTAATAAAAAAGAACAATTAGGTATTGCATTCTGGATGCTTTTCTGGTAGAAAAATTACATTGAACAAAAATTCAGATAACCCGAATTCTTTACCACTAATTCTTATGGGAACATCAGTTAATCTTCTCTCCTATTAACTTACCATATACAATGGAAGAAAACCTTTGTTACTTTAAATAGAAGAATTTCTATAACAGGCATAGCCATGTAATTTGATCCTTTTGAGAAATAGGGTTCTCTTTTTTTTTTAAAGATTTTTTTTTTAATTGGGGAATTGGGGGGATGGGAACAGTGCTGGGGAATTGGGGAAGGGGAACAGACAAGTTGCTGTCCTTTTGTTCTTCAATCTAGTGTGGAGGATGTTGCTTCACTGGCCCAAGTTGGCACCATCATTGCGCTCTTCCCGGGCAAGGTAGATCAGTCGCCGACTTCTGGACGGCCGCTAACTGCGGCTGCTGGCCGCTAACGCTGGCTGCTGGCCGCTCACGCTGGCTGCTGGCTACACACGGTAGCCCATGGCAACCCACTGCAGCAGGGGCTGCAGCCTACGCCGTCGCCGGCGACTCACGGCAGCCCAGCTCCAGGTTGAGCTGTTGTTCAGCACCTTAGCTGTGGAGGGCAGTGTCACTGGCCCTCATATGTGGGATCCGAACCGGGGCCCTCTGGCGTCCCAAGCCAGTTCTTAACCATCCCGCCACTTGGCCGGCCCGAAATAGGGTTCTCTTCACTCTTCAGACTTACCCTGGCTTTGAAGCTTGGCAAGAAGCAGTAATAACTGATAATGACTCCATTTAGCAAACCCTGACAGTGTACTTTGATAACGTTTTGCGAACATTATCTGTTTAAACCTCATAATGAGTATAAGTGATGGTTATTGTTGGTCCCATTTTGCGGATGAAGAAACTAAGATTCAGAGAGCCTAAGTAAATTGCCTAAGTTTACGCAGATGTAAGTAAGGCAACTGGGATTCCAACCCACATCTGTCTGAGTCCACTGTTCATGCTCTCACTGCATTTTAGTGTTACGTAACATGAGAGAGGAAGCGTGAGCTTGTTTGCAAATCTGTACTATCCTTAGTACTTAGCGCCATCATTTTCGTGTTATGACAAATTATCTCTATTTAAAGATGATTTTTAAAAATGTGAAAGTTATTAAAACTAATTGCATGTCTATTCCTCCTTGCAAGTAAGTATGCTTATTTTCACTAAAATCTACATACTCTTAAGTCTTACTCTTCAAAAAGATTGGCTTATATGTGCAACTCTTGGTCAGATGCTAGAACTCCAAGAAAATATTCTTTGTTATGATTGTTTCCACAGATGTACGCTCTTTCCTAATTTCTTATTATCCCTGCTCATTGTTTTTATGGTTCTTTTCCTTTTCATTATTGGGTACATAATGTTTTGGCCCAAATAAAACCATCCTTTTATCCTCCTCCTGCTTCCACCCTTGCTGCCCCATTCCACCAAAAATATAAAATAGTTTATCTTCTCAGAAATTGATAGCAATACTATGCAATTTAATTTGGTCTCAGTAGTATCTTTATATTGGCTGATAGATTGGTTGCTTGGCTGGTTTCTTCCATTTTCATGTGCTCTTCTAAGCATTAACTACCTTACAGGAACAGTACTCAAATAAATAACGGATTTTCTTATGTTCATTTCACCTGCCCAGTTCAACAGAGAAAAATTGATTTCTTTTTTGTTTTGCTGACTACATTCGAGAAATTCATAGTTGGTAACTTATTTATAGAGAATAATTATAACTGATGCAACTCAGTTAAAGAAAACTGTCACTAGCCATTGATGTCATGTAGGAAACAGTTTCAATCTATTGGTCTCTGGACGTATTGGCTTAAAATTATACTATGAAAGACACAATTAAATATAAAAGTAATATACATTGTTTTATTTTCAAATACAACTGTGACAATGCAGAGTCTTTCTTGCCTCTTACTCTATTCAACCACACCCCCCCCCAAAAAGTTGTGTCAATGTATTTCATGCACATAATACACTGTGTTATCCCAGTTTTACTATAAAGTAATCTTACAGGGTCACATCTTGTTGTTATGAAATATAACTTTGTAAGAAAAAATAGCCTAGGTTTAGATAATCTGGTATTTTAACCAAAACAACAGGGAACCTAGTCAGATTGACCCTAGAAGTCATTTTGAATTAAATATGACCATTTCCAGGATATTAGATATAATGTCTATCTATATTATGATACCAGTAAGTTTTGAAGATCCATTAGAATTTTTTTCCTTAGTTCTGGAAAATCCTTTTCCTCCAGTTACAGAAAGACTCTTTTTTATATCAAGGGTATTTTGCTTTACAAACACATATGTTATCAATATTTTATCGCTCATAGGAACTTGAATGCCTTGCTATTCTTTCTTCTTCTCTTTTTTCTGTTATTTCTTTTGCTTAGAATGATATGATTATAAAATCATAAAAGATCATAACAAATTAAAATATTTTTTATTGTTTGAAACCCCATGAATAGTCAATGGCCATGTCAAGATAATTTTCCTCTTTGAGCATAAAAGCCTCGTTTCCCTTATTTGTTGATTTAGTCTTACCCATAGTCTAATTAAGTAATTTTTTCCCCCATAAATTGATCTGACACACTTTTTACCAGATTTCAGAAAAATGTTTGGACTTAAGAAAATATGGACTTTAGTGTTTACTGAGTATAGGAAAACTTTGTTTATAGAATACTATCTTTATTTATATTTGGAGGACAGCATTTTATATATATATATATATATATATATATATATATATATATATATATATATATATATCTCAGTATTGCTGATCTTATTCAAATATATTTGAGTAATTTTTACTCATTTTGCTATTATTGCCCATGTAGTAATTTTCCAGGTTCCTGAAGCTTACCTTTTTGAACTATATACCTTAAGCTCTTAAGCTGCTTAGGTCAGTGGTTTTCAACCCTAGCTTCAATTATCATGTGGACATCTTATATCAGATTTACACCAGACTAATTAAAGCAGAATCCTAGGTGAACACCAGACATCAGCATTTTTAGTATTTGTATTTTTATTGTTTGTGTTAGTATTTAAAAAAAATATTCTCAGGTAATTCTAAACATGCGTTTAGTGTTGACAACCATTCTTGAAAAAGAATTTCTGTCATGCTGTAAATTCCTTTACAACAAAATGCATACTCTAACAGACTGGCATAGAGTAGAAATTCAGTTAGAAGTGTGATAAATGAGTCTTAACCACTTTGACCTTTTAAAAAATATACATTTCCCTACCCTTTAAAAGAGAGAGTATAAGGAAACATGATTATTTTTTTTCTTGATGAATCTAGGTCACAATTATGGAAATCATTTATTTTACTTTAATACACTGTATTAAAGTCTTGAAGGGGCTATTGAGACACCTATTAATAATTATTGTGCCAGATATCTGTGTGCAAAATATTAAAAAACCCCTGCTCTTCAGAAGCTGACATTCTAGCAGGGATAAACTGACAGTTAAAATAAATATATAAATTGGATAGTATGTTAGAAAGTAATAAGTGCTGTGAAAAATAAATATTAGAGCAGAGTAAGATCAGAAGTACCAGGTATGGGAGGTCGGAATTTTAAATAGAGTGGTCCTGCCTGAGCTGACTTTTGTGCAAAGATTTGAAGGAAGTGAGAGAATTACCTGGGGAGAGTGTTGGAAGTGGAAACAACTGGGAGAAAGACCCTAAGGTGGCAGCGTGCCTGGAGGGAGAGTGGCAGGAGGAGGTCAGAGAGGCAGGGTGGGTGGCATGGTTATGCAGGGCCAGGCAGACCATTGTAAAGGACTTGGGCTTTTTCTCTGAAATGGGTAGCTGTTGCACGGTTTCGAACCAGACATTGGCTTGATCATACTTAGGTTTAATATAATCATTCTAGCTGTTGTGTTGAGCAAACTTAGAGTGGTGGGTGGGGGATGGGAAGAGAAGATAACCAATTAGGAGACTGTTGTAGTCATCCAGGAGAGAGAGATAACTGACCAAGGTGGAAAAGGAACAAGGTGGCTAAAGCCTTTCTTAATGAATTAGATGTTTAAGATATGAGAGAAAGAGAGAGAAATCAAGGATTAACCCAGGATATAGTCTGTTGAGAAGGTTAGGGCTATTTATTGTCTACATTAATCTTCTTTTTCTTACCCCAGTATCAAGCTGTGAACATGCATTTCTTATTACTGTTATTGTGTCCACCTCTTAATTGCCTTCACCTCTTCTAGAATATATTGCTTTAGTTTAAGTCTTCTGTAGACCAACAAATACAAAAATGTTTAAAATTGTATGTGTAAGGTTGTTAACATATGAGGTGTGATAAAAAAAATATGATGAATCTTTAAATTTAAAACAATGTATTACAGTAAAAGACACATTGCCATTAATCCCCTTCAAAATACACCCTCCCACCCCCCATTCGAACATACTTATCCCATCATTCTTTCTGAGGCAGCTCTGGAAGTCCTCTTTTTGAGTGTCTTTAGTTGCGCTGTCGTGGCTACCTTGATATCCTGAATCATTTTGATTTGGGGAAGAGCCAGAAGTCACACACGCTGCCAGATCCGGTGAATAAGGTGGATGAGGACACACCATAATGTTTGTACCAGAAGCAATGTGTGACATGGAACGTTGTCATGATGGAGGATGAAACTGTCCATTTTTCATTGTTGTTCGTGATCCATGAATTATGGCACACTTTAAAACACACCTTCTCTCAACCGTAGCTCACACCCAATTGACTGCACCAAACAAGTTGGAACTTATCACACACTGTTACTAAGGTTCGATGCACTGCTTCCCATATTGAAGATCCCTGCCTTTCCGTTGGATGGCACTTGGCAGCAACATTCACCGTATTTGTTGATCATACCTTGTGTAATGGGCTCTGCGAGTATGTGTTCCTCTATTCAAGAGTGCACGGGAATTACTCTTAATGCCAGGACTTGTAACAGTTACCTTCTCTGTTTAGGCCTTAAACTTCCTTCTGGGTTCTCAGAGTATTCTGAATGGTTAAGTTTGTCAGAAGACTGAATCTCTTAATAAGAATTCATTTATATTTACATTTTTACATTTTTTTAAAACAGGCAAAAGAATGGACTCCAGCAGGAAAAACTAAGAAAGAGAACCCTGCTAAGAAATTTTATTCTGAATCTGAAGAGGAAGAGGACTCTTCTGATAGCAGCAGTGACAGTGGTGGGTGTTGTAATTTATTAAAAACATTGTTCACTGTAGCTTACCTGCTATGCCTCCAACAAAACAATAAGACCTAGTACATAATATTCAATGAGTGGGTTTAAATAAAGTTTCTACTATTATAATAATTCTTGTCATTTACATATCACTGTTTAGTTTTCAAAGTAATTTTCATTCCCTCCTTATTTGACATTCCCTCTTGGACATATCGCTAATAAATTATAGAATTGAAACAGAAACTCATGGTTTTCTAAATTCTAACCCCACCTACCTGTCATATTCATTAGCATATTGAAAAACGTTATTTTACATTTGATAAGCCTTTAGTGGGGCCTTTAAAAGTAAATGTCTTTTATTAAAATATAGTTTATTTTAAACTTTGAGCAATCTGTTCCTCATCCATTTTATACTCTTCTATTTCTACATAAACTTAAGAGATAAAGCTAAAAGTAGTATCTCTTGGCGTATTTAAAAAAACAAAGATGGAAAAAGATTGAGGGCAACAATGTGCAATGAAAAGAATGCTAAATCGGAAGGATTTAGAAGTTCTGGGTTTTAGCTATGCAAATTGAATAACATACTTAACCTTTTTCTATATCTGATAAATGAAGAGGTTGAGTTAGATGTTTTTTTAAGTCCCTTCAATACTAGAATTCTGTGAGTGATTTGCATAATGGAAAATATATTGGAGTTACTTTCTAATATTCTTATTAACAATTAACCTAATAGATTTATCTGACCCTAAATCAAATGACCCCTTTCTTTTAAAACCTTTATTCCCTAGGGAATCAGGGCCTCTCACTATTACTTGGTCATCTGTTACCTTTCTCTAAGGTAACTCATTCATTTTTTTCTTCTGTTTCCCCTATCAAAATCTTTGTTTTTAGTATCTGATAAATTAATCTGTGGTACATTACCTTGTGAAGTAATAACCTGAAAAATGGAGAAAATACTTCAATCCAGAGAGTTAGTGCTAGAAAATGTGGAATTTCAGGCATAATGTAGACCATTGAAAAAGACCTATTTGTATAGTTAAGAGATAAATATGAATATCTCCATACCATTTATTTGCAAGCTCATGCCTGTTCATAAGCTAACATTTTTCATACATATTTGAAATACTCTGTTAACAGTAAGACTTTTCATGGTGGCAGGAGTTCTACTTTAGTTACTAGAGGAAAAAAAACTACTTTTCTCATTAGAAGTTAAGAGATTTTTTTTTTCCTAGTGAGAAAGTCTTTTTAAAATAAACAAATTCCATCAAGGATCTACTAACTTGAAATTTAATTAATGGTGCCTGAAGTGAAATGGACCCAGATTCATGTTGAACTCCTGTGTAATTAAAATGAGAGTAATTTAGGTGCTGTAATTTCTTTTCATAATTTATGACATGCGAATTCGGACAATTAAGTTTGCAAACTTGTTGCAATGTTGTTGCTAACTTTTTTTGATATCAGAGGGATTATTCATTATGAATTTGTACCAACTGGACAAATAATTAACCAAGTTTACTATTTGTAAGTGCTGAAAAAGCTGCATGAAAAAGTTAGACGACCTGAACTTTTCGCCAACAATTCATGGCTTTTGCATCATGACAATGCACCAGCTCACACGGCACTGTCTGTGAGGGAGTTTTTAGCCAGTAAACAAATAACTGTATTGGAACACCCTTCCTACTCACCTGATGTGGCCCCCAATGACTTCTTTCTTTACCCAAAGATAAAAGATATGGAAAGAAAGACATTTTGATGACATTCAGGACACCAAGGGTAATATGACAACAGCTCTGATGGCCGTTCCAGAAAGAGAGTTCAAAATTGCTTTGAAGGGTGGACTAGGCGCTAATGTGGGTGCATAGCTTCCCAAGGGGAGTGCTTCGAAGGTGACCTTAGTGTTATTCAGCAATGAGGTATGTAGCACTTTCTCTAGGATGAGTTCGTGAACTTAATTATCCAACCTCGTAAGCCAGTTGTCTGAGTTAGTACTTGTGTGCAAATTTGATATCACAACAAATTCAAAATATTCTTATTCAGCAGTTTTGTTTTGTCTTTGTCAAGTTTGGGTAAGATAAACTTTGCTCTTTGTAAAAGCTGATGATGATGAATGCCCTACCATGTGGCAGGCACTGTTGTATCCTAATCACCTTTACATGTTTTAAATAATTGAATCTTCACAACACCTCTGTAGAGTAGCTAGTATTATCCTCATTTGCAGAAAAGGAAACTGAGACTCAGAAAGTGTGAATAACTTGCTTAGTCTAATAACTGATAAGCGACAGAGCCAGGATTTGAATCAGACATTCCAGCTTGAAAACCCATGCTTTTAACCACTTCAAGCTACTCCAAAAGAATAGAGGCTCTCCTAGCTTTTTACTGTGTGATATATAAATCAGTCCTCATAAAATAGATATTTACTTATTAGAATAATATTTTAACGAGAGGTTATGTTTCTGCCTAAGTGTACTACATCAGATAGATCATAGGTAGGGGCAACAGTTTGTCCTGTTATCGAGAATACAACTCTATACCTATAATCATTTCAAATGGTCAATGATCATGCTTCATGTTTAAAATACACATAAATATACTGTATTCATCACTTCTGCAAATAGTCCTAGTATACCATAATTTGCCTGTAAAACACATGTATAGCTCGTTAATGTAACTTTATCATCTTTTAACCTATGGAGAACTGTGCTAGCTAAAATAAGTAATAACTTTTTAATTAGTTATTTTGTTTATTGCTTTTAAATTTAGAAATTTTTGGAAATGATTTGAATGGCTCATTCCGTCTCAGAATTTGCTCTTTGCTCTTAATAAGGTTCAACTGTTGCCTTCTTCTCTGAATAAAATTTCCTATTATAAATAGAAGAGCTAAAAATTAATTTTTTATCCTTACAGCATCCTTATAACGTTCTTTAAAGGTAAGTTTTTGCCATACCTAAATAGAGAAAAGTGAAATTCTCTTAAATTTGGTTCTTTTCTTTGCTTTTCCCTACTCATTATTAGAGCCCCTTCTGTGTCTCATGGAGTCCCTTCACGCTCATCTTACTGGTTCCAGAGGTTTCCACAGGTCTGAATGATTGGAGTACAGAAATAGAAAGTGTTAACAAGCGGAGTCCAGTAAACTAAAATTCAACATCTGGTTTCATTTGTGATGAATATTGACAGTTACTTGTGTCCTTGTGTATAATTAAATGGCTTTAAATCAAAGGGCATCTGGTTCTATTTTTTCAGAGAGTGAATCTGGAAGTGAAAGCGGAGAACAAGACGAGGAAGGAGACAGTAGTGAGGACTCCAGTGAGAGTGAGAGTGAGAGTGGAAGTGAGTCAGAAGTAGAAAACAAAAGAACAGCCAAGAGGAACTCCAAAGCCAAAGGAAAAGGGTAAATTATTTTGTCAGAATTTCCTTAAAAAAATATTCTGTGGTATTTCCCTTTAATTCATAGAATACGTGAGAAAATAAGTGTATTTTTTCCTCAGCAGATATTGTCTTGTAAAATTAATTTAAAATACTGGTTCACATTATTTTTCCACTTATAATGCTTAGTTTTTATTTTGAACTTGAACAAATCTTGGGGCTACATTTTGAAAACTTGTATAACCTTGGAAGGCTGAGTTAAGTGATCAAGCAGTAGGTATGAAACACTTAATTACCTTTTGTAGCAATTTTGCTGAGGGCTAAAATTAAATCCTTCAACACTTTGCCATTATGTAACTAAGACAATTGATTTTTCTAAATAATGTTAACATTAAAAAGATTATGATCTAAATATTAGAGTCAAGGGCTGTGAAGGAAGACGGTCATAAGATATTTAAGTGTTAGCTCTTTCAAAGATCTCCCATTATCAACAACATTATCATGTATTAAAATGTCATTAAAATTTTGAGTAATTGGGGCTAATACCTTGGATTATAAGAGTCTGTTTTCTTCACTGCTGTCAGCAAGTGGCCTCTGCAGACATGATGGCCCTTTCCCTGTGAGCCTGCTGCCCGCTCACTTGATGAGCTTGCAGCCCAGCTCAGTCGTGGCTGACAGCACTGATTGGGGCGCAGTACGCTCTCTGCTCCTTTTATTACAGACAGTAATTAAAGCAGCTCGCCCTGCCACTTCCATAACAAACACAGCATAATGCCCTAATTATGACTTTATTAATTTAAGTCAGGATTTAATGATTTTAAAAGTGATTTATATTGTTTTTCCTGTTCAGAACAAATGAAATCTGTAGGTTAAATTAATACAGGCTTTTCATCATTGCAAAGTTAAAAAGCTAGTTACCAGTAAATTCTTTTCATTAGATTAACATCTGAAACTCTAAGCAGTAAGGTAAACAATAATTACCCATCAAAATTGAATGATGCATAACAAAATAACACTTTTACCTTCAAAATCTTATCTTTAAAAGCTAGAAATATAGACAGCATTACTTACTTGTTGCAACAAAGGAGTTACTTGATGTATAATGGCCTTTTCTTTGAGAGAAATTCTATACTTCTGGTTTAACATCAGAATAGTTATGATTACATAGTTTATAAAAAGTATCTTATTTCTAGGAAGGGAAGGTTTGGTTCAGTGCACTAAGTATCTTTTCAGAAAGCAAAAGTCAATATGCTAGAAACTCATAATCATGTATTAGATTAGTTTCATTATTTTTTTCCTTCAGAAATGGACTTTTCTATTTACCTGTGTTTAAATTTAAAAGACTTGTTTATTACATCAAATAGAATCTCAGATGCATTCTAAACCTTATATTTTTAAGTACATATTTTAACCATTGAATTGGGGATAGTAAATTGCTCTTCTTTGCAGGGAGGACATATTTATTTTTATTTTTATTATTAGTTTCAGGTGTATAGCGTGGTGGTTAGGCATTTATATAATTTATGAAGTGATTTCCCCTGATAAGTCTAGTACCCATCTGACACTATACATACTTTTTACAATATTGTTTGCTATATATTCCCCATATTATTTTGCATCCCTGTGACTGTTTTGTAACTACCAGTTTGTACTTCCTAATCCCTTCACCTTTCTCACTGATCCGTCAACCCACTCTCATCTACCAACCATCAGTTTGTTCTCTGTATCTGTGAGTCTGTTTCTGTTGTGTTTGTTCATTTAATTCTGTTCTCTAGATGCCACATATAAGTGAGATAATATATGTGGTGCTTGTCTTTCTCTGTCTGACTTATTTCACTTAGCATAATACCCTCTAGGGCTATCCATGTTTTTGCAAATGGAAAGATTTCATTTTTTTCTATGCCAGAGTAATACTCCATTGTATATATGTACCACCATTTCTTTTTTTTTCTTTTTTTTTTTTTTTGATTTTTATTGGGGAATTGGGGGGA